TTTCTTTCTACATATATGTGATTTTTTTTCTGCCCTGATGATATCAGAATTGGCGAAACGTCGGCAGATTAACTACTCACCTATATGTTAGAGAATCATGACTTTATAATTTGGATATTTCTATTTATAACAATCACTGTATGTCACTTTTCTAGCTATTTGCTTATTTTAGTAAATATTCAGTTTCCATTTAGTTATTTTTCTATGATATCCCATTTAGCGTCCATGGAATCCTTCTATGGAAGTTTCTATTAAATAATACGAGTAATATATAAATAAGAAGTTATTTATTATTAATAGTTATCAAATATTATTAGTCACCAATTTTTCCTTATTGCCCAATACCTTCCACAACTTTGTATGTTGGATATTAATTTTTTTGCAAAATAACTCTTTATTTATCCAACTATATATGATACATTGAAGAGAAGTTGGTTGGCCTGTTTAGTCAAAATATAAAGTAAAAATGAATACATTATATTTACTTTTGCCTAAGTTTTGGCCCAAATAGCTTCTCAATATTAATAGTTCCTCATATCTATTATTATCTGTTTTTCCTTAGCCCTGATGAAGGCCTGAACTTTAGGCCGAAACGTCGGAAAAATTAAAAATAAATATCATTTATTTATTTTTACTGAACACCCCAACCAATTTCTTTTCAATTATTTATTACAGTCAACCATCAATCCACTATTACAGTTATACACCTGTATTTCAACTTTAGAATCATCAAATTCTTTCACAGTTTATATTATAAATTTAGTATTACTTCCAACAATAAAGAGATGGGAAAGTATTTCATTTTCTTTTCTAAATTGTCAATTTAAATAAAAATAAATAAAAAGATAGATAAAAAAACAAAGATATGTCATATTAATCTCGTTTATTATTATATATGTTTTTTTATCTGTTATAATTTATTCATAATTAATAATTCATAAGATGAATCATAGAAGACCAGTTACGCGTGGCTACTTCAAGATGTCTCTTCTTCATTTATTCGTAGAATTTATTTATTTTTCTGTGTAGAACGATGGATACATGACATGTTATTTATTTAATATTTTAAACAATAAATGGTTTAGATAAATTGAATAATTATACATAGATAAATATCTGTCAAAAATATATTATATAATAATATATATATATATATATATATATATATATATTTTTTTTTTTTTTTTTTTTCATATCTTCATATGCATCTGTCATCTGTCATGAGAGTGACAATCAGCAGATTTGAAGGGAATATAGATAGTGGTGACATGAGGAAGGAGATCTCTCATCCAGTTCCTCTTCAGTCTCCTCCTAATGGTCAAGTCAACGGTGGCCATGTCGGTTATGAATCCGTTGTTGTGTCTTTGTAGTTTAAGATTAAATCGTGAGTAAAGAGTACGGATGTGTGAGATCGATAGTTGGTTCCTGTAAGTCGTTTTGTAAAGTTTTGTTGTTTACGTACCAGAGAACTGCTGTTATTAGTCGTAAAATTTTGAACTGGAAAGATTGTAGTTTTCGGAAGTGAATCTTTTTTGGTGAGGCTTATGTCCAAGTAGGTTTAAGTATGTATGTGTATGTATTTAGTCTTTGTCTTATTTGCAATGTTCGATTTGGAAAAAAAGAAGTATAGTATTTTCATTCGCATGTTTAAAGTCTTCCGTGTCATTTTGACGTGTGGACCTCAGGTCATTCGTCTGTGAATGCGACAAATAATGGCAAATAAAAAAACTCATAATTAATTCGTAATATCTTTGCAACCAAAACAACAAGTCATACTCCGAATTCGACATTGTCATCCGAAATTTCAATTGATGGCTGATAAGAGATTTCAAAGTCCATATCCCAGTCATTTATTAAATGTTTTGGAGTTAAAAATAAATAACAATACAAAATGTTGCCTTTCTGATTGCTGATTGTTTCATGTTCTGTTCATTTTCCAGTTCGCGAAGCTTTCACTGGTTCCCACCACATTCATCTGTGTTTTTCTATCATATATATATATATATATACTGTCTATAAAATACATATTGTCATAAAATATAATTTTTTTAAATAAGTGTTTAGTGTATGTCATATTTTGTTTTATTTTAGTATTAGGAGAGTAAGAGGTAACAGGAGCTCTCCTATTAACTCTATAATTAGCACTAATTACACAGATGTTCATTTAATTACCTGTATTTTGAGCTCCTGTTACCTTCTACTTTCCTAATAAAAAAATGAAGATTTTAGAATACAAATTTGTTCCGAAAATGGTATTTATTCATCTGTAAGTGGTGGTTTGATTTTACCTAGGTGACAGCAGTCATTTTTCGATTTAGACATTTTCCTCTTGAATGCAATGTATCAATTATTATATTATAAATAATATTTATATTATATTGTGAAAGAACTAGGACTCGAAATAAACGTGGATAAAACAAAATATATGGTTAGCTGCAAAAATGGCGATACTACTGGTGATATCGATATAGATGGTAATATGTTTAAGCAGGTAGATAAGTTTAGGTATCTAGGTTCTACGATAACTAGAAAAAACGAAATTGAAAAAGAAATTAAGGTTAGACTGAAGGCGGGAAATGCTTGTTATTTTTCTGTGACAAAACTACTTAGTTCGCGCCTCTTGTCCCGAAACTTAAAAATTAGAATCTATAAAACAATTATCTTGCCTACAGTTCTTTATGGGTGCGAAACTTGGCCGATTACATTAAGGGATGAGCAGCGTCTTAAGGTTTTTGAAAATAAAGTATTGCGTAGAATATTCGGACCGAAAAAGGATGAGTTAACTGGAGAGTTCAGACGGTTGCACAACGCCGAATTGCGTGAACTGTATCCGAGTAATATAATTGAGATAATTTCTTCGCGGCGAATCAAATGGGCTTGTAAAGTTGTTGGACTTAGTAACGAGAGAATTCCTAAAAGGCTAATATTTGCTGTGCCGAATGGTAAGCGTCCGAGGGGTAGACCGAAGCGAAGGTGGGAAGATTGCATTAAAGCCGATCTGAAGGGACTGGGTTTGGACGGCGAACGATGGAGGGAGGTTTGCAATAAGCGATTGGTGGTGTCGGCATCGAACCTTCGGGTTCGCTAAGCCTTATTATTATTATTATATTGTGATATAATTGTAATTATTATGAAATAGGAAATGAAAATATTAAAAATAAAAGGCTCAGATTATTGTTGGGTTTATATTAAGCTGGGCAAGTTGAATATATAATATCCTTACAAATCGGCAATAAGAATAATTATATTTATATAATAATATAAATTGACAAGAAGGCGCAATGTATAGTATGGATTTTTAAAGAAATTAAAAATTTGTCCGAACTGTGGTTTCCTTTAGTTTATTTTATGTTGATAAAAAATAATACCACCTCACCTACAGGATACATGTATATTTATGTATATATATATATATATATATATATATATATATATATATATATATATATATATATATATATATATACATACATACATACGAGGCAAGCAAGGAGTAGTAAAATTAAATTAACAGTTGTATAAATTGTAATAATGGGGGTTGGTCCGAAGAGATGGGAAGAGATTTCTCATCCATTCGAACACATGTTTCAGGTCGAACACATGTTTCCATCGATGAGTTTAGGGATGGTCTGATGAATTTGCGATGTTTTCGATCAGCTCAGCGCAGGAACTTGACCGTCATTTCTGATTTTTCTAAGCTTTTGGTATCATATATATATATATATATATATATATAATATATATATATATATATATATATATATATATATATATATATATATATATATATATATATATATACATATATGCGTGTGTGTGTATTTATAAATAAAGCTGCGTTTTTTTGGAGGATGAAGTACGTTTCTCATACGTATGAAGTCTTTTTTTTTTTTGGAGTACTGATTTGGATTTTTTTTTTTCGGAAGTCCTTAAACCTTGTAACTTAACCTTGAACCAACGCAGGCCAATGTTCTCGTGTTTTTTATAGCGATCTCTTTGTTGACCTTATCCGCTCTCTTTATATTCGTACAATACCTTGATGATTTAGAAAGTAAAGGACTTATATTTTTTAATAGTTAAAAGGTTTAAATTAATGAATTTATTCTAATCTGTTTTATTTTGTATCTTCGCTAGCTAAGAAAGTACTGAAGCATTCTATTCGTGCGTGAAGTAAAAACATTTTTAGAACCGATTAGATTAGCCTTAGTTTTTCTGTATTTAGCAGGAACTGATTTATTATTGAGGCGAAAATGGCCGAGCTGTGTTTAAGGGTTATTTCCTTTATCATTCTCGAATCTAGTCGCCTCTATTCGAATCCGGCCTAAGCGGGTTAAAATTTATTTCATGACGGATGGAATTAGTGAGTAGAGTGAATCTCGACCCTGGTTAAAATAGATTGTACCTCTGGAATATACCGTTGGCTTATTGCAAAAACTCATTAAGTAACATTTTAATGAATTTGAGATAATCGAATTTGAAGTTTCTGTTTCATTAAAAAAATATTATAATAGCAATTTGATTATTTGTTTTTTTTTGCTATTCTATTTATTTATTCTATTTTCAACCATTAATTAATATACTTGACATATAAACAACAATGAATATAACTTCAAACCACGACTCACGTAGTGACGTTTTGGACACTTATCATAGTTAAACAAAACACTTACTTACTTTTATAACCTTGTGACTACATAGTTAGACTTACCTTACTTAATTAGTTTTATTAACCGCTTGATCAATCAATCCAGTGAAAGGAGTACCAGTATCAGAGAGTAAAATTTGGCGTTCTATTTAACCTTGTTTAGAGACCAAGAATTTCATCTCTTCATTAATGCCAGAGTTAAAAAGCCCCCTCAGCACCGGAACGCGAACTCATAACTGTTCTTAACATCGATTATCAGTTTCGGGATGCCCATCCCTTCAAGGTCAATGGCACAAGAAGCAACCCCCTTCTCACCCCCCCTCCCCCTTCCTCCTCTCCTAAAATATTTTATTGCTCACCTTTCCTCAAAAACAGGGCAAAGGAAAGCAGAATCAGAAAAATCGTAGATCGTATACAATTTCACTGCTATCTGTTCCATGTTTTCTTCTTGTTTTTTAACAGACCGATTTTCTCCGAAACTACTGGACCGATTTTTTTCAAATTTTGATATAAAATCAGAGGTCATCCAAGGATTATCCTCCTTCATCGACATTACTATCCGCCTTTTACTTTCAAAATGGCGGCCGAAAAACCTGCATTGCTATAGACTGTAGCGCCTAAACGAATGTAGCGATTTTAATGAAACTTAGCTAAAGTCATTTTCTCTACGCCCTTTAAATTTATCTATATAACATACTTCAACGAAAAGAAGCTGGAAAAAAGTTACGAGAGATGGTAAAATTTAATTCCGAATAACTCAAAAAGTAAAATAACTCAAAAACTTTTTTGGTGATGTTGTATATGGTTTTTAAGTTACAAAATTTCCTAAAAATCAAAAAAACAAATCGTTAAAATTGGACAGTTAGGAGCAAAGATACGCTCTCCGTTTTTTTTTTAATATGTTCTACTCCAAATGTTATATCCTTTGTTTGGTTTTTAAATTTTGAATGTGTTACTGAAGTAATGCTATTTTTTTTTTAGCATATTACTAATGATTAAAAAAAAAGTTTAGTCCAATAACTGGAATCACCTTTTATTTATTTTTCTTTGTAACTAGAAGGTAATGTTACTTTAGATGTATAATTGTCTGGAAATAATAAACCATTGTGGAATAATTTGCAGCGTTCTTTTATTTTGTACATAGTATGTTTAACTAATATTTTCTTTACTTTTTTCTTTATTTTTACTTTTTATGTTTGTTTTTAATTAGGCCAGATGTAATACTTTAATTTTGTACTTTTTTGTTATTCCAAACGGACTTCGTCTCAGAATAAAATTATTATTATTCTATTCTATATATATATATATATATATATATATATATATATATATATATATATATATATATATATATATATATATATATATATATTGAATAGAATATTGTATACTGTATAATGACCATATAAAACGACGAGAAGGGAACTAATAGTATATAATAAGCCGCTAGCGATCGATACCCTAATAACATACCCCGTGAAGTGGAAGGACGTCGGCACTCGGTCAAGACCAGCCTCTTGTCCTTGGCCGCCTAGGTTCGGGTGGGTGTCTTTGTTTCGGATAATGGGTCGCTCCTGGGGGTATGTCATCTAATCTATCTGGGTCAGGAAAAGGATACGGCTAGGCTGGGGAGACAGGGGGTCTGCGATATGTTCTTCCTCGTCCTAGAATTAACATATGATACGTAGATCAGTACATTTGCAGAATTAAGTGGAAATGGATAAGGCCGGAAAAAAGAACTTTTAATACAAGAAGGACTTCGGCCTCTTATTGCTATGATAGTACCTAAGCGATTTATAAAAGTTTAGTGTAATAGCAACTATGAATAACCTGCTGCTATAGCTAGTGTAGTCCCAGCAGCTCTGTTACAAAGAGGGGGAGGGTGTTATGAACGTCGTGTCACCGATTTCAATGAAACTTTTTTTGGTGATAATAGGCCGAAAAATATTAAATCAATGTCCGAGGGTTCTTCCCAATGCGCCGTCGAAGCCGAGAAAAAAAAATTAATATTACGGTTTTCTGACTTTACCCTACATAGATTTTTAAGTTTTATTTTGTTTTTATAAAACAAGATGGACGTATTTCTAATTGTATTAAAAGAATTATAATGTATAATAAATTAAAACTCTTAAATACGAATTTGTTTTGATATAAAAACAGCTGAAAATTATTGCACTTTAATAAAATTATAAACCATAAAAAAAGATATAAGCTTTGCAGTAGAACATGTAAAAAATATTAATAATAATTTAAAATAAATTAAAAAATATAGTAGGACGTATATTATTTTTTATTTCATTTAATTTAAATACCTAATTGTCCGATTTTAACTATTTTTTCTTTTAGGACATTTCGTTAATTTTTTAAAAATCATACAAAAAAGTGTATACTTCTTGAGTTATTTGGAAATCTAATTTTACCATCTTTCGTAACTTTTTTTCCAGTTTCTTTTTATTGAGTATGTAAATTTTTCGGCCGCCATCTTGGAGGGAAAGGGTGAATAGTAATGTCGAAATAGGAGGATCATCCTCGGGTAACCTCTGAGTTTTACTCCAAATTTGAAAAAAAATCGATCCAGTAGTCTCAGAGAAAAGCGGACGGACAAAATTTTTTTAATTCGATTTTCGAATTCTACCTGTCGTGAAACGTATAATCTCAAATTTTGATGGGGGGGACTTACAATGGTTCATTTTTGAAAATAATAAACCAAAATATTAATTCTTGTACATAATTTAATGGAAGGATTATTTTTCATGCCGTTTCTGAAAATATTCATAACTCGGGATTTTCTCCCAATTCAATGTTACTGCAACCATAGAACATATAAGGAAAAAATCACTGAACGTTTTTATTTGTTATCTCCAAGCATTTATTTTTGGGCGTCTTGTTTGTGCCATGCCTAAATTCATGCTAATTTTCATGTGGATACAATTAACAATTACGTTCAATGTAATTAGTAGTATGTTTTTCTTATTTTAAAAAATAAATAAATTGATCAATATATCGTTGGCACCATGTTAAAATAATGAATGTGATCCTATTTAACGTTGCACATTCACCACTTTAAGATGGTTCTGACGATATGAGCCTTTCAGTTAACAGAATGGTTAACTCCAACATCAACATTTTTGAGTGAAACCGTTTTAGTGAAATTTTTAGTTGGTAAATTTATAATATCTGTTCCAATAGTGACATCAGTTGATTCCAAATTAGATGATTGGGACGTTGAAATATAGAACTGTTAATAAAGGTATGCATTTTCCGAATAGAAATACTTTAAAATTAATAATAAAAAATATGGAAATTGGAGTTAGTCATTCTGTCAACTGAAAGGCTCATATAATAACTTAGAAATTGAGGCTGGGCAAAGTCAGAAAAACGTAATATAAAAACAAAATTTTATATAATATATTTTTCCTCGGCTTCTTGGGCGCTTGGACATGTCAAAAACCCTCAGACATAGGTCTAATATTTTTTGGCCTAGTACCACCAAAAAAAGTTTCATTAAAATCGGTGAGAGTCCAACATTTAGTCCAAGGACTACCAGTGGAAGATCCTAGAAATTTTTGAGGATGCTGGAAGGCACTTTTAAATCCTTAGTGTTGAAGATGGAATCTTTATATATTGCAAGTATTAACACATTCAAGAATTTATTCAATATTTTCACGATCGCAATACTTTTCCTCACTATATATTTCATATTTAGGAAAGTTGAATGAATCCCCAATCATCAATGAATCAAGCATCAAAATTGATTGCATTTACTTATTTCAATATTATATTATCATTTGGTGAAAGAATAGTTAATCCGTGGTACAGACCCTTTTTTACCAAATTATTAACATCCGCTTGAAACTTCGAAAATAGTTCGTAACCTACAAATATTTTATTTACTAAAGTCTCGGAATTGGGACGTTGTCTATTTAATTAGGTACTAAAAACTCGTAAATACCCATTTGCTTTCCACTTTGATCGTGAAATAACTTGCTTATAAATTCGATATTAAAGGTGGACTACAAAAATATTGGTCCGTTTGGCTCAGTACTTTTGAAGGCCACGTTTTTTCTCGACTTTGTGCTCAAATTATCTTACGATTCAATTGAAAAGCAAATGGGTATTAAGGAGCTTTTATTACCTAATTAAATTGACAAATTGTACCGAACTCCAAATTGAAAACACCCAATTCCAAGAATTTTCGTAAATATAACATTTGTAGGTTAGGATGACATAAAACTATTTAGGAAGTTTTAGATGGATGTTATTAATTTGATAAAAGGTTCTGAATCATGGACTATAGTGAGAAGATAATTAATAACCAAAAAAAGGTAAACACTGGCGAATTAATCGCAACCATATAATTACACCGTTCGAATTATTCGCACAGGCCAGTTAATACTACTTAATAATATGGAAGTCTAAAATTATTTAATGAATAATTATTAATAATATTGAACTATGTCCATATTAACGATTGTAACGTTTAGTATATAATACTAAATTCATTTTAGCAACATAATGAAATTATTGAAGCGATTGCCTACTTCTACCTGTCATATACGTATTTAAAATTCCTTTACGTTATGTATTAAAGAAACAACTTACAATAATATTAAAATATTACTAACAAAAATATCGCAGGCGGTTGGAAATGGTCGGTAATTTAAAAAGGCCACGACCTCGAACAATATAGGTCAGTTCGCGAGCAGTGAGCTCCCTACATCGCTATTTTCAAATCCAAAGAGCTAATATTATTTATTATTAATTATGCATATAAGAAAAAAAAAGTTCTTTATTTGCTTCAAGGTTTCGAGCTTTTAAATAAAATACACTAATGGAGGAAATCAACGCACCATCTACATTTCCTTAAAGATATTCACTTTATTCGTGGCCCAACAAACGTTTTATATGATTCTGTTAGTTATTTGAGAAGGAAAATTTATTTAACATTAATAAAATAATTTAGAATGAGAATGCTTTACAGTTGATGAAGAACAGAGAAGTGAAGTTAGACAGACTTTGATATCTAGTTAAAAACCTATACAACAAGAAGGATCTTTTCAGAATAGAAAGGATTAGACGTTATGAAACAGTAGTTAAACCTGTTGTGTTATAAGGAAAGGGGACAATGAGATTTACCAGTAACGAAAAGCTACTGAAAATAGAGAGGAAGATACTAAAAAGAATTATGAATTGTATGTACGATGATCTAGAAACATCGATGAAGAAAAGGAGATCGGACTTCTTAGTTCATGTGAAGAGAATAAGTAAAGATGAGATAAACAAACAGGTATTTGACAGTAATGCGACTGAAGAACCTCAGATATCCTTAACAGATTAAGTGAGAAATATTAAAAGAAGATGAATACCTTGATAGGGATAAATTCAGAAGAACAGTGAACAAGATGGAGATTCTGAATGTAGAAAAGAGAAGAAAGGAAGGAACAAAATGGAAAGAAGAACGGTAAAAGAAAATGAGTGAAAAAATGAAGAATGTTTGGGCTAAAAGGAAAACCAATGAAGATATACGCGCCTTAATCGCGAAAAGAAAATATTCTCTGTATAATAATAATTTTATTTGATGATATTTTCAATTTTCAATATGTAAATAATAATCAGTCATATTTTGCTGTACAACATTTCACGCTATATTAATACTAAAATCATTAACTTAAGTACCATTCCTTTATTTTATAATACCAGGAAAAACTAATAAAAAAACCTCCATAAAAAAATAATAATAATAACTATCGCTAAATAGGACTTGCCTTGAGAAATCTTAGGACCAAAAAAATAAACTATAAATAATTAATATACATTAATAAAGCAAACAATAGTAATAAAATTAAAAACCATGTATTATAAAATGAGGGTCTTTTTATTTTTTCACCATATTTATTTAAATTTTCATAGCTATGTTTCGGCCGGTAAGCCATCTTCAAGCCATTTTATCCAACCATACTTTTTGCATGTAGTCTAAAGTCTGACTGAATCAGCATGGTTCAATAAAATAGCTTGAAGATGGCTTACCGGCCGAAACGTAGCCATGAACATTAAAATAAATATGGTGAAAAAATAAAAAGAGCCTTATTTTATAATATTAGATAATTTTCACATAAAACAAGCACATATGGATGAAAAACCATGTAGATTTAAACAAAGTTATATAGTATATTTTATATATGTTAATTAAACTAAAATAAGTACTCTATGAATCACGTACAACATTATTTTGGTCAGTTTTATTCTAGTAAGATACGTTTTGTATGTCTGTGTATGTATATGTTTAAACTTTGCTTATTTCAATTGCCTATTGCTTTAATTATGGAGTTCTCTTTATAATAAACCTCAACAATTAGAAGTAAAACTCTTGTCTTTGCAAAGAACATAACGGATATTTTTACTCTCTGATGCAAATCACATATTTTGAATGCTTTTCCATTGATTTAAAAAGATTTTCAATAAATTCCTGTAGAATGTTTTCCCACTCTTCAAGAACAGCTGTTTTTAATTCCTCTTTGTTGCTAGGACACGGATTCCGAATTCATACTCCTCTGTTAAGATAGTCATGTTTGATACCATGTTCTCAATTCCTATCTCAATCAGGTACTCATTCACTATTCGTGATCTGTCTGTTCTTGCATTG